TGTATGTGTAGGAAAGCAAGAGTGCAGAATGTGGCAATTGTGTAAGTGAAAATCACAAAGCGGTTTAAAGAAGTCCACAATCGAGGCGACACAACACAGATCACACACACTCCACGCACACTCTCCATCGGAGCGAGAGAGGGAAAGCGCCGCCATGTCATACGTGACCACAGAGCGCACTACGACAATGGCTAGAGGTAGAGCGCAACCGCACAGACATTCAGATTTCACTTGGGCGCCACTCCAATATCTCTGCATGACCTGCAAACGTAACAGGAAACAGCAGTGGGCGGTACGGCACGGCACGGCATACACCAACATTAACCACAACAACTATTAACCGCAGTACTTAAATATTTATCAAATATTGAACTCGTATAACCCCCCCGTGCTCCACCAGAAACGCAACACGCGAATTTCCTGTACAAATTATCCATAAACGCATGAATCATAATGGAACATTTTAAAGATATTCTCTTCTCGTAGCTAATCAATGCGATTTGTGACTCGACTTCATACATTTCTCTCATGCGATAGGAACTGAGAATTGGGATTCCCGTGCTACCGTGAATGTTCCTGTGGGCATGGAATTCCTATTCATATGGAGACAGTGGTGCCTTAGAGTTCATCTATTCTGATGCAACTTAAAATATAATAGATGCATTATATTCACCCCCGCCCCCACCAATCTCACACACACACACACACACACATAGAGAGAGAAAAGGTCGAAGGTGTCTTGGGGGTTTGAGTGGGGGCAAAGGTTACGGTCGGAAGGAAGCGAAACGATTGCCAATGAAATGGAGCCAATTCCCAGAACTCTTGACAAACGACCACACCCCCAAGAGGGGTGGGGACATTGGACATTTGAGTATCCTCGAAAATGGAAATGTGTGCCATCCATTCATATTCTCGTGATAGGCCACACAATTGAGTGCATTGCTGCCGCTGCTACTTCCAAATCAAGTTTCGTATTTTGCGTTTTGTTCATTTTTTCATGTGAAAGGGAAAGACGGGACAGACAGAAAGGACTGTCCTTGTTTCCGATTGTGAGGCAAATTGTCTGATGGTCTGCCTCCGCTCATCCTCTACCTCCATCAATCGCTTTTGACAAAAGCTCGATATTTGAATGCTATTCCGTGGAGCGGTGGTCGCACAAAAGGTATAGAAGATGAGAGATGGACGAGGCGGACATTTAATATTCATTTACATCCGAAAGTGACGACAAGTGACTGGCAACAGGTGACTCGACAGATAGACAGACAGACGGACAGACCGTGTTAGAAAGTGCAGTGAAAGCCAAGGCAAAAATTGTTCAATCAACAACAATTAAACAAAACCCTTTTCATGTCCACACACAGAAACACACGACACAATGCCATGCCATGCCCCTCTGCCCAACCTTTCCCCATTTACATTTACATTTTCATCTGCTATTTAAAGAGAACGGAGAACAGAGAAGAGAAGGGGCCAAAATTGAGAGAGGCCAAGAGATCACAATTGGAGATGGAACGAGGGAACACGAAACACTGATCGGATCCCACATTTATTTTAAATGATTATGAAGATGTGTCCACACGTCCATCTGGTTAATAGAGTAATCCCAGAAATTCCAACAATGTACGGTGCTGGGCATGACATGTGTTTGTTGACATTAGACATGAACCAGAGCGATTAGATTAGATACGAGATGGAAAAGGAAGATAAAATGCGAACATGAGAGCTTTTTTCGCAAACGCATGTTATCGATAGCACCAACACGGTCCCTGCCGGACCGGAAGGGGAATCCTCTCATCCCTCAAGCGTAAGAGCTGTTTTTGGCCTTTTCAATCGTTTCAATTATAAACATTCGAGAATCATTGAACCCCCTGCTACAAGCAATAAATTTAGCAATAAATGCAATTGCATTTGCCTCTTCACTGCATTTATTTTTTACTGTATCACTCTGCGGGAACGTCAGTTCCTTGAATTTGGGAATGAATATGTGAGCCGTAAAACCTTATCGCAGAGTGTCGCAGATGGTACATTCATGTGTACTTACGTATAAACTCATTCATTGGATTTATTGTTGCTTACATACAAGTAAACCCTTGCCGATCAATATTACTAATATTCCCCAATAATTAGCAAGCTTAAATGTGGGGGAACGAATACTAATAATATGCCCCGATCATTATCAATCTTATATGTAGGGAAACAGTCGGGAATAGACATCGCGTAATCGCGAATGGTAGTCATTGCATTCCACAATCTAAACAGAGTGGGTACCACTCTTATCCTATTCTCATTTTCCCGCCTTATCACACCTCAAGGTCATTCAAAAATCTAGACTTGTTTTCTCAGTAGATATGGGAACTCTTGCACTTTTGCACACTTGTAAATAGGTTGATATTATCTACTGATTAAAATAGCTTTCCACCTGCAAACATACATATGTATATAAATGTACATACTCATACTGATGTTTCCTCCTCCGCCACCATGTATACTCTGATCGGTGGGGGTGGTGGCGGGTGTACCGGGATTAGATGTATCCAGTATGGCAGCATCATCGGCACTCGCTGCCCGATTGAAGGGCCTCGGCCTGCGGTTTTTGAAGCGCAAACGAAGCTCTGTATTGAGAACACGCATTGCGGTAAATTTTATTCCTTCCACTCTTCTTCCGTTTATTCCTTCTCTCTCTGTATCCCTTGGTTTTTTTGTTGTTGTTATTATTTGTATTTTTGTTGTGCAATCAATTTGTGGGTCGGGAAACTGGAGCAAACGCTTCAACGATTCTCCCGCTGTTCGGGAATCTGTATCTGTATCGATATCATTGATCTATTGCACACACACACAGAAACGCGCCACAAAAAAACAATTGAACCGCACACTCCCTTTTTATTGGCAGGGGAGCAGGAAAAGGGCGACGGTGATCCCCAGAGAGAGAGAGAGAGAGATATTGCTTTTATGATATCACTTTTTGGGGCGGGTCACGAGCGTGCCATACGAGCGGGGGGCTGCTTCGTTTGGGTTACGGCTGTTCGGTGTGGGGAGCGGAACGTACGGAACAGAACGGAGCAGAGCGGAGCGTACCGTTGATGAGAAAATTTCGCGTGCGACTGAATCAACCAGCGGCCACAGACCAGACCCCAGCTCCGACTCGTCAAACGGTAAGCGATGAGCGCTTACTGCGCTACTATAGCGTGAGCGCCATCGTCAGGGGTAAGGGGGAGAGCGGCATAACTTTTACAAATCTAATTGGGCTGAGGCAGGGCAGCAGCAGAAGCAGCTGCTGGGACCACCCGATGAGTACAAAGTGCTACTCTTGGAGTCAAACTTAGCGACTATCATGAGAGCACCTTCACCTTACTATTAATAAACCTTGGGACTGCCCAACATTTGCACTTTCAAATGAACTTTTGCTCAATAAATACATACAAATGTACACATGTGTTTGTGGAGAGAGCAGCGAGAGAGAGAGAGAGAGAGAGAGAGAGAGGGAGAGAGCTTCGGCTCTGCGCCATTATCTATCAAAAGCGCTGACCGCTTATCAAATTAACGCGCAAATAAAACACGGACTTTTCTTGTCTAAGATCTAGAATTCACACAAAAACAGAGACAAAGAAATGTCCACACAGGCCTTTTTATTTGCAAATGCAGAATATCGAATAAATATTATCCCGAATCATTTATTGATCACCAAAAATATTGACAACTACCAGACACCCTGCGCTTCCTGCGGCACTTATTGGAAGGAAAAAAGATCTTGTTGCAAATTCGATAAGGTTAAATTCTCCGAAAATACATTTTTGTTTACTAAGCATATTTAATATAAATTTATTTTAGAGTTCGAAAATAAATTATACAAAAAATTTAGTTGTTCTCGCTGCCAAAAAATATTTGATGAATGGCAGTACACATGAACATGAATGGACATTTATTATGTTACGTTAAGACAGACAATTGTATTCAGGAATAGATGGGCTACCGTATACAATACAATGTATGTACATATTTAATTATTGTTCTGGAAAATATTTAAATATTTCTTTGGTTACCAGAGAAGAACCAAAATATGCATAAAACCAGCATACCCTTTTGCCTTGTTCGAGCAATAGGTGTAATGATGCAACAGGATTAAACCGCTGGGCAACTGTTAAAGGTGGAACAAATACATATGCATATGCACAAATGTATGTATGCACATAATTGTGCTGTATATCCATCGCACTTGCACCCACACATTTGCAATGCAGTTGGAAATCACTTTTCACTTTATATTTGAATTCCACATCCATCTGCCGGAGCAGGGGCATTAGGGGAATGCATTTAGAATGAAAACGGAATGGTGGGTGGAGAGGAATGGAACGGAACGGAGTGGGAGGGCAGGGTAGGTCGAAGAGGAAGTGGAGAGAAATTTCAAATTCCTTCTTGTTTTTGTTGCTCTCCAATTTTCAACACTTCTTTGGAGAGGGAAAGAGGCGGAGGAAGCCTTCCCAGGGGGAGCAAGTAGCAGTAACGCAGCAGCAACAGCGGAGGCAGCGACTGCGACTGCAGCGTCGATGTGGACGTTGGTGGATGCTAAAAATAGACTTGTTGACAGCTCCCGAAACGCACAGCAGCCGTGGGAGTAGCTGCAGAAAGGGAATATGGATGCGTTCCTTAGGATTAGCTTGGACCATGCATACTATCGATGGATTTTACTATAGGGATACTATACGGATTGGGATAACTCTGAGCGCACCCATATATACACAAACACGCACACACAGACAGAGTGAAAAGAGAGTGAGAGCGAGCTAAGAAAAACAGCAAATCCCTTAAAACCGCCTCTAACCATCCCTCTTCCACCCACACACAAACACACACATACCATTCAATTGTTTTCTCGATTTCATTTAAGGTTATAACAATTGTTTCTATCATTGTCGGCAAAAGGGCAGAAGGGTGGTGGGGCCAGAGGAAGGGGTAGCGGGCTTTTGCGGAGGCGGGGCTGTTAGAAAAACAATTGTACTCACCAATTTTTTGCAGTAAATTCATTTTATCCGATTTGGTGTTTTTGGTGTTGGTTCTTGCCTTTGCATTGAATAGGTTTGGCCAGGGCCAGGGGCCCGCGCCCGAGCCAGAGAGGAGGACCTCTCCTCCACTGGAGCTGGGGATTGCAGTTGCAGCTGAAGCCGGAGATGTAGTTGCACTTTTAATGTTACGGCGGAGACCGGAGGCTGGATGAGCCTTACCGTTGCCGTGTCCGTTCTTCTTCTGCTTCTCTGCAGCCGCCGCACACGAAATTTGTACCCACACATACACATTCACATGGAGGCACACACACGAACTGGCCTGGCACTGGCACTGGCATACGCTTGCTCGCTCTCACTCTCTCTTTCTCTCTGTCCCGTAGCCGCGACGCTCTTCTGTTTACGATCCTATCTATATCTGCGTATATAATCAACGTTATCAAATAACGAGGTGCTGCACAGATGCCTCCTCGTTGTTTCTCGCGCACAACGTTAACATTGCAATCAAGTTAATTCAATTTGATTTAATCAAAAAAATATACAAAAAAAATAACAATACAGCTCTGAAGACAGAAAATAATACGCACCAGTGTGGCCGCGGATTTATCGATAAGATATACCGAAATATGCCTTTTCATTTTCAAAATACATACTCCGTATATATACCGATACAAATCATTTCGCTGACTTGTCATATTCGATTCAATATTACAAGATACTTAGATCTCTCGCATCGAAATTTAATTTTATTCGATTAATGAATCAATTTCCAACAAGATGGGATAAGTTTGAAGACGCGGTTTGATAAGGTTTGAAGAAAGGTTTAGGCAACAAAGTTCAACAAAAACGCTATGGTTTTGGTTCATGGTAACTACACGGTAACTACAAATTTGCTACATATGGTTGGTTTATAATCTGGATACTGTTTTTGCACAACATACTAAAAATATAAAATATAATATATACATAAATATATATATATATAAATATAAAATATAAAATCGTTCATTGGAGATTTGATGAAAAACATTTCTAGTATTTGGTATTATGTCCCATTCGAAACACCAATTTGCTCTTTCCCTACTCATTTTTTCGTTTCTAATTTGCAACATTCTACTACAATTTTCCAGCAACATTCTAGCGAAACCAGGGCTGGATTTGGTCTTAAATACCGAAATATACCTCAATACTCAGAGCACATACCAGATACAAAAACAAGCGCGCAATGATTATTCAAATTTCATGTATGTATTATGTACTTCATATAAACTTATATCAATACATATTACCCTAACTATACCACACTCGGGATACGAATCAATTTTCCATTTCAATTTATTGCATTTTTTTGGAAAAATGTCAGCATCATGGGCTGCTTCGCATCCTAAATAATAATCAATGTTCCAATCTTGTGGAACATCGTTCATCAATTGGATTAAATTATATGTTCAGGGCTGAGACTTTCAGCTTGCTCTGAATTTAAAGCCGAATACAAAAATTCAGGAATATGGATTCTAATCATGAACAGAGAATGATTAACCCATTGCCATGCATTGGGTATTAAAAAAACAATACTGAAATTAGGAAATGTAAAAAATGGTTCTCAGTCACTTTTCTTTTGTTGGTAAAGTGAAATAACAGTGACAAACTCAAGGTGTTCAACAGTTTGCATTTTGCGGGGCTACGTGGGTTAGGTTCGCCTTCTTCCTCAGGATAACCTTGGTATATTTTGAAAATGAGAAGGAATAGTTTGGTATATTTCTGTGGGTCAGACTGTGTATGCCACTTATACATCCGCGGTCACACTGGAGCAAACGAAAATATTGCCGGCCCCGCCACAGTTCCATTCCGCGGTGTGAAATCATTTTATTTGGCAAAGTGAAAAGTTTTCGGTAATTAATGTGTTGCAGATCCTGTTTTTTGTTATTGTTAAATACTTCTGGTGTGTGTTGCACCATGGGAGTGTGTGGTTTATATGTTCGTGCGTGCTTGTGTATGTGTGTGTGTGTGCAAAACTGCTCCTTTGTTTGCTCATAAAAAAACGGCGTCGTCTTTGCGCAGTTCTTGTTGTTTTTTGTAGTTTTTGTCATTGTCATTGCCGCTGCCGGCGCCAGGGTGTGTGCCGCCGCAAAGAGGAAAAACAAAGGCCTCCTTTACACCCGTTTTTTGCGTGCGTGTGTGTGTGTGTCGATAATTAATTGCACGCAAGTTGCAGCAACTTGAAAGTTGCATTATTTTCAAAGCCTGTCACGGAAAATGTCAATAAATGCAAAATGCAAGAACAACAAAAATCAACCACCAGTAGAGAGAGGGTGTGCGTGTGAGAAGAGAAGAGCAAAAAAAACAGTTAAACAGTAGCAAAAAAGCTAGCGCTTGCCGGTTTATGCCCATTAGCCCAACTCCAGCCCGGCAGCCACCCCCAGCCAAGCAGCAGCAGCAGCAGCACACACCCACATCGAGAAAGAGAGAAAGACATTGTCGCGTGAGAGTAGGGGGAGACACCCATATTCCTTGCACCCTTTGCACACGCTGCACAGCATAGCACAGCGCACACAGAAGATGCCGCTCCCTCTCTCCCTTTTAATGCTCTCTTCTCTTATGCATGCTCTCCCACGCCGGACAGACCGGATCCCGTTAATATTGAGCTATAATGCTGGAGAGTAGAGATAGCAGCTGCACTAGCAGCAGGAGGCTCTCCTCATGATTGCACTTGTCGTCTCGGGCTTGGTATATCTGCATTTCTTCTTCTTTCTTCATATCTATTTCTTTCGTTTTTCTAAATCACTTGACCCCATTACCTGGTAGCAAACCCAATACCTGAATCACTTGGCTGTTGCTGCTGGTGCTTCCAGTCGCTGCTTCTGCGGCTGCGACTGAGGCTGCCTGGCTAGCCTGGTGGTCATTTGTTTTGCCGCTTTCTAACGGACCAGTTGAATTGGCGCACGCGTCGTTAGCCTTCCGTTTGTTAGTCTCCTCTCTCTCTATCTATCTCTCAGTCTCTGTGTTGGCCACCCCCCTCCCCTACCCTCCCGCGTGGATGACTGGCTGCACTTGGGAAATTAACCATCCACTGACGCTGCTGCTGAAAGAAGAGGAGAAAAAGTGGTTTGCTCTGCTCTCCTGTGCGCGCGTGTGTTGTGTGTGTGGATGTGAGCAAGTGTGACAAACTCTCCAATTCTCCAACCCCCTGTCGTCAAGGGTCCATCAACTGTGCGTAGAATGCTGGCTGTCTGTCGAGGAAATTTCCATGACAACCGTAGATCGGTGATATATGCATGTTTGCTATATATGCGCACTCATATGTAGGTGTGGCTCCTGTTAGTGCAACATATATATGTTTGTGCAATTTGAGAGGGTAGGGTATACAAGTGTCGATTTTTCCCCTCACATATCCTCTTATACAAACAAATATTGCATACAGCAAAAAATGTACATGTGTGTGGTTGTGTGTTGTTACTTATCCGGCTTTTTGTGGAACATCTTTGGATATTGTCAAATGGATGGATGGATATATTGGCTGGCATTGAAGCCAATCCTCTGCTCCTCGCACTTGCTGCAATCGCAGTTGCATTTAGATTGCTTTCTCTTTTCAATTGGCAGCAGAAGCAGCAGCACGGGGAGTGGGTGTGGGGGGAAGAATTTGCAACGGACACCGTTCCAATTTCATTCCAATGTATATTCCAGTATGTGTGTGTGAGTGTTTGATGGCAGTGCAAGTGCCGTTCCGTGCTGCGCGGTGCCTCGCTGTGCCGGGAATTGCCTTATCAAAAAGCTGGTTTGTTTCTTTTTCTGTTTGTTGCCTTATCGAGTGACTCATGGCGGTGGACAACAGCAGGCGTTTGTTTTAACAACAGGAACTACTCGCCATTGAAATATTTGATATATTAGTATTATTAAAAAAGTGCCCGAAAACAGAAGTGTGACTGTGACTCAAGCTCATATTTTGTATTTGCCTGCACTTTTCCAGACATTCACAGAGCCAGCGACAGAAGGGAGCTGAACAGACCAACAGACCTGAACCCACCCCAAATCTAGCGATTCAGCGAAAAAGATTCTCCATTCAGGCACATCGGATTGCTTTCCATTCGAGCAACAGTCACATCCTCAGCCTAAAAGAAACAGCATGGCCTGGCGCTTCAAGGCTTCCAAATATAAAAACGCCGCGCCTATTGTCCCCAAAGCGGAGGCATGCGTCCGCGAAATCTGTGTGGGTAGCTATCAGACTTATGGCAACAATATCGCCGCCTCGGCCGCCTTTATGGCCTTCAATTGGGAGCACACCGGATCGAGTGTGGCCGTCTTACCGCTGGACGATTGCGGGCGCAAGAGCAAGACAATGCCGCTGCTGCATGGCCACACGGACACAGTGACAGACCTGAAGTTTTCGCCATTCCATGACGGCCTGTTGGCCACCGCATCGCAGGATTGCCTGGTACGAACTCTATAATCCATTCTTCCTTCCATCCCCCCATTTATGATTTTTTCTTTTGATTTGTCAGGTGAAAATCTGGCATATACCAGAAAAGGGCCTGGAGCAGTCGCTCTCCGATCCGGAGGCCGTCTTCTCACACAAACAGCGACGCGTGGAGACGGTGGGCTTCCATCCGACGGCCGATGGTATGATGTACTCGACAGCGGCCGGCTGTGTGGCCCTGTTCGATCTGATGAGCCAGAAGGAGATATTCTGTGAGTGCCTTTGTCAAACCCAGTGCTGGACGAACGACGTCTAATCGGGTTCACCTTTTCCACTCACACAGCAAACAACGAGCATCCCGAGGTTATACAGTCGGCCAGTTGGCGCGAGGATGGCACCGTCCTGGCCACCAGCTGCAAGGACAAGTGTGTGCGAATCTTCGATCCACGTGCCGCCGGCTCACCCATCCAAATGCTGGCTGAATCGCATCAGAGCATCAAGGATTCGCGAGTAGTCTGGCTGGGTGGCCAGTCGCGTATCCTTACCACCGGCTTTGATGCCGCTCGCCTGCGGCAGGTGATCATCCGGGATATTCGTAACTTTGGCACACCCGAAAAGACCCTCGAGCTGGACTGCTCGACGGGCATACTGATGCCACTTTTTGATCCCGACACGAACATGCTCTTCCTTGCCGGTAAGGGGGACACGACCATTAATTATCTGGAGATCACCGACAAGGATCCATATCTGATCGAGGGACTGCGTCACACTGGCGAACAGACAAAGGGCGCCTGCCTGGTCCCCAAGCGGGCACTGAAGGTGATGGAGGCGGAAGTGAATCGCGTTCTCCAACTCACATCCAACATGGTCATTCCCATCATGTACCAAGTGCCCAGAAAGGTGAGCGATGCCCACATACCCAATTCACCGAATGAAATCGATTCAAACTTTGGGTGTTCTTTCCTCTCCTCTCTCCTCTAGACCTATCGCGATTTCCATGCCGATCTCTATCCGGAGACCACAGGCTACAAAACAGAACTGATTGCCAGCGAGTGGCTGAATGGTAGCAATCAGGCGGTGCCCAAAATGAATCTGGATCCAGCAAAGCGGGAACTTGGCGACGAACCGATAATTGTAAGTGCGGGTCAGGTCAGGATGGGAGCCGGTATTGAGGAATAGGGAATTTCTATACAGGGTGGGAAGGGGGTTGTCTGTTGGTGGTTCTATTCGATTTTTGATCTTTAATTCCCGTTGTCCTGGCCATCAATTCAGATTCATCGCGGTAATTTAAGCGATTTTGTCAAGAATCTGGAAAACCAGCGGACCAATGGCCAAGGCAAGGGCACGGTCACCGGCCAGAAGATTCAGACACAGACCCCAAACCAGAATCAGTTGTCGTCGGCCAAGCGCAACGACAACGAGCACTTTGTGATGCTGAGCAAGGGCAACAATTTCGAGGAGAAGAACGGCAACGACAACAGCAACAGCACCCAGAACGGAGCCGGTCAAAAGAAGAGCTGCGCCCAGTCACAGTCGCAGTCACAGCCGGACGGGGAATGTAGCGAACTGATACGCAAATTTGAGGCCAAGTACAAGATCGATACCGAGAAGGATGTACGTACTGCAGGCGGCGGTGCCCATGATGATGAAAAGGAATCACCCACCGAACATTCGGCGGGCAGCAGCGAAGAGGCATCCGCCAGTTCGTCGGGTGCTCTGGACACGCATTCAGCCAGCGGTAGCAACTCCCCGCCCAAGCCAATGCCGCGAACATCGCGCAACAATTCACTGCCAGAGGCCAGCGATTCAGCGGGCGAGAGTAGCAGCACCACAACCACACCACGGCCCAGACCACGTACAACGGCAGCGACTGCCTATAAGGTGCCACATCCTATTCATCCATCCACAGATACAAATCTGCCGATCATCGTTTTTGGTTGTTGTCTTTCGATTTTGTTTTGTAGCCTTTGATATTTCTTTTCACCATTGAATTTTGTTCGATTTTGTTTGCTTCAATCATTTTATTGATTATTATACCCTGCAATCGAAGAGTAAATAGGGTATATTGTATTTTTGCGCAAAGTGAATGTATGTAACACCCAGAAGGAAACGTTTCCGACCCCATAAAGTATATATATTCTTGATCAGCATCAATAGCCGAGTCGATTGAGCCATTTCTGTCTGTCCGTCCGTCTTGTTGAGCGCCTGGATCTCAGAGACCATAAAAGCGAGAGCTACCAAATTTTGCATCCAGACTTCTGTATGCTCACACTCTTACAAGTGTATTTCAAAAATGAGCCCGCCCCCTTCCACCCCCTTCCAAAGGGCGAAAACCTTTGAAAACTAAAAACGCCATTCCGCAGGGAATGGCCCTATCTATCAGATCACCAAATTGGCATCCGATTGGATCATTATTATAGCCAGAATGAAGAAATTAATTTTCAGTGGCCAAACCCACCCTGTCCAGCCGCTTTTGTTGTTCTTTTCACATTCTCTCATTCACACTCTGCTTCTGCTTCACTCGGCCCCTGCCTCTGCTGTCCCCCTGCCTTTGGCTCTGCCTCTGCCGACTTTTAACCCACCCCGTCCCGCAACTTATATTTGTTTTTTTTTGTGTGCGGGCGCTGCCTCTGCCGCGAGTCTGCAGTGTGTGGGTCTAGGGAAGGGCGGCGAGCTAACGGAGCGTGTTGGTGGGAGAAGTGTTGTAGATGTAGATGACAGATGAAGAAAATATTTAAAATTTGACAAAACACCGCGAAGGTGCATATGTAGTACTGAGTGCCGGGTATAAAAGTTGTGACGCATAAGAAGCGTCACACACGTCCCTTCTCGTTTTCATTGATCTTAATGATTATTTCTCTTTACATCGATTGGATTTAATGATTACTTTTCATTTGTATCACTATGTTTAACAATGATTATATTAATTGATTCATGTTTTCATTGTTATTGATTGGAATATTGATTATTGTCATCGATAGCGTTTGATATCGGTTATATTTACGATTCGTTTCGTTTGTAGATTTATTTTTGACTGGTAGACCACCAAACCCAAGGCATTTTTGTTGTTGCTTTTATTGCCTCAGAATATTATGATTTTTGTCACCATTTTGTAGACATTTTGCATAATTTTCAGTTGTTGCCAATGTTGCGATCAGCTTTAGATGTTTATTTTTTATACAAATTCGAGCATTTGTTGCTTCCGCCAGAGTTTTCGGAGCATTCCACATTTTTAAGTGCACTGTTTGTTTATTTTTTTAATTATTTGATTTTTGAGCAGCACCCATTTGCATAGATATGTTTTTCATGAACTTGAACTATACTTTAAAAACACTCACACACAGCCTCGTTTGGGACCGAAGCCCTTCTCGAGCACCACAGGCGATGTGTCCTTTGACAAGGTGTTTGCCGTGCCCCTTGCACCCGGCTCACATGAGAACATCTCGAGCGTTGGCCAGGAGAGCAACGTAGGCAGCGGAGGCGGAGAGCCAGCACCAGCCATAGCTGCTCACGTACAGCCGTCAGCCAAGCCGGATCTCATTGAAATTGAAATCAAAAGTGAGTGGTAGCCAAAATCATCATAACAACACCTTTCTGTATCCCCGATGTACTCTACAGAGAAGAACGAGCGGGAGACGATTGCAACCGCTGGAAATGGAGTGCAAAAGTCACTCACTACATCGGAGCGGCGCAAGGTAAGCACCTCTCTCTCTCTCTCTGAGGATAGTCTGCTGTAGTTCCTCCACTACTACATATGTGTGTGTGTTTGTGTGCGTGTAACGTGTTTAATCCTTTCTGTAATCGTTATCTGTAATCTGCTCTCTTCTGACATCTCTTACATGCCTGTGCCCGTGCCACAACAAAATTCGCCTTATCTCGTGCCTAACTTTCTTTGATACGCATCCTGACTACTTACTAACTACCCAAACAAAACAACTCCAAAACAATCTCCTCTGTCTACTACAACTTCCAACTACTACAACAACCACAACAACAACAACCACTACTGGAACCACTGTAGTCTTCGGCTGACGATGATGAATCATCCGATAAGGTCTGCTAGGGGGATCACCACCCGATTGCCATCGATTGCGATAGCCAGCATTAATCACACTTTATTTTATTTTCTTTTCTTTAACCCGTTTCACCCGCCACTTAGATTTTCGAACAAAACTCCGAATCGTCGGAGAACTCAACAGAGGGCGAAGATCGCACCGATGCCGATCTCCGACGCTTCTCCTCGGCCCGAAGCAGCATTGCCGAACGTCGACGTCTCTACGAGAATCGATCCAAGAGTCAGGTGGACGAGAAGGCCCAGTCGCCAGTGCCATTGTAAGTGTCTGGTGGCAGGAAGATTCCCTATGAAATGTTTTCTCAATGCTGTCCTCTTGCAGGCGTCGTGAAACCTCCAAGGTGGAGCCGGTAAAGCTCAACCAACCGCAGCAGCAGCCACAGAGCAACGTTATTGGTGGCACCTGCGTGGACAGCAAGCGCATCTCGGTGCCGGAGGGAAAGCTCCTCGAAGAACATCGTCAGCAACGGGGCAATAATGGAGCCGCCAATGCTGCTGGACTCAAGAAATCCGCCACGGAGGCCGCCTTCAGTGCCGCCTCGACCAAACGCACCTCGACCGTTTTCGGCAAGGTCTCCAAATTCCGACACCTGAAGGGCACGCCCGGCCGCAAGTCAACACACATTGAGAACTTGCGCAATTTGAGCCGCCAGATACCGGGCGAATGCAATGGCTTCCATGCCAATCACGAGCGTGTGGCGGTCCCGCTTTCGGGGCCAGGCGGCAAGATAGCTATCTTTGAGCTGAGTCGCCCGGGCCGTTTGCCCGATGGTGTCATTCCCTCGCTGGTGAATGGCAGCAACATCATGGACTTCCAGTGGGATCCGTTCGATGCCCAGCGCCTGGCCGTTGCCTGTGACGATGGCATAGTCAAGCTGTGGCACATAGCCGAGGGCGGCCTCAGTGAGCCAACCAATACGCCCGCCGGCGAGCTGACAGCCCACCTTGACAAAATCTACTTCATCCGCTTCCACCCGTTGGCCGCCGACGTTCTGCTCACAGCCAGCTACGATATGACCATTAAGCTCTGGGACTTGCGCACCATGACCGAGAAATGCTCGCTCACGGGCCACTCGGACCAGATATTCGACTTTGCCTGGAGCCCATGCGGCCGTCTGGGTGCTACTGTCTGCAAGGATGGCAAAATACGCGTCTACAATCCACGCAAATCGGAGATGCCCATACGCGAGGGCAACGGGCCCGTGGGCACCCGGGGAGCACGCATCACCTGGGCCGTCGAGGGACAATATATTGTCTGCACTGGATTCGATAAGTACGATATTTTCTGCCACGATTTTCCTCTATTTCTTCTCTATTTATACATTTTTTTCATAACACTTTACAGGGTCTCGGAGCGACAGATCAGCGTTTACAATGCCCAAAAATTGTCGGCACCGCTGAACACGGCCAGTCTGGATGTGTCGCCATCTATATTGATACCCTACTATGACGAGGATAGCTCCACACTGTTCGTTACAGGCAAGGGCGATTCGACCATTTATTGCTATGAGATCACCGACGAGGAGCCGTACATCTGCCCGCTGTCGCATCATCGTTGCACATCGCTGCACCAGGGCTTGAGCTTCCTCACCAAGAACCACTGCGATGTGGCCAGCGTGGAGTTCTCCAAGGCCTATAGGCTGACCAACACGACCATCGAGCCGCTCAGCTTCACAGTGCCACGCCTCAAGGTGGGTGCAGAGTCCGTCTTGCCTGTGTCCAAACTGAGTACTCATTCTCGTAATAATTTTTCAGAGCGAACTGTTCCAAGACGACCTCTTTCCATCCACGCGCATCACCTGGAGCGCCACGCTCAGTGCCGATGATTGGTTTGCCAGCAACAATGACAAGGCGGCACCCAAGATCAGTCTCAAGCCCGAGGGCATGAAGACCCGTAAGTAGTCCGTGTTGCGTCGTGCTCTTGACTGCATCACCTCTACTTTTTGTTCTCTTGTGTGCTTGCAGTTTCTTCCATACATGTAGTGCCAGTGCAGCATGTTAAGAAATCGTTAGAGCAGTCCGCTATATACAGCCAAAAGCCAGAGTACGAAATAAACAAACAGCAAGAGGTATGGCAGCCCCCACAATAACACATTAACTCAATTAAATCAATATTTATAATGCAGATACAGAAGTCGGTGAGTGCGCGCATGGAGTACACCACAAAGCTGGAGCAGGACGATATGGAGGGTGTGGACGAGAAAGAGTGGCAGGAGTAGCAGCAAAAGAATCAGCAACAACAAAATTGGGAGTAATTTTTACTATAAATATTGACAGGACACAGCAACAGCAAAACATAACATAACATACATATATGTATATGTATAATAATAATAATAATAATAATAATAATAATAATAATAATATATAATAATAATAATATATAATAATAATAATAATATATATATATATATATATTTATATAGAACTCTCTCTCGTAGACTTGCTTGCGGCATAACAAAAGAAACAAACTAATCCACAAACATGGCCATAAGAAGGTCCTCCAATCCGTGCAGTATACACATTTGTATGTTGTTAAACAAAAAGGGGGAGGAAAGGTGAGACTGTTCCGTACCCTTGGATTTTCATTCCCTATCCCCCGTATTACCCTACCCTCCTTCTCCTTCAACTCACACTGCAGTTGCTCAAGAATTGCCAAATTACTGATCGTAAGCAATAATTTTGTTCGTTTCGTTTCGCTTCGTTTTTTGATATTTGTTTAAACTACACAGCGTTATAATGTGTAATTATGGATGTTTATTTGTTTGTATGTGTAAACGTGTGCTACAATATTTAAGTAGTTAGTCCAAAATTAGTTTAGGCCTGACTTGTATAATTGATAATCATTTACACTTAATGGAATCCCTCCTGAGTTCTCGCGTCCATAAGTTTGTGTATTTGTTTTGTTTTTTTTTGGTTTTTTTTTATGTGGCCATATAATAATATATTTGTATAAGGATATATTTACACCCCCTCTCTCTCTCTCTCTCTCTCTCTCTCTCTTTCTTTTTGTCATTTGTATGTGTGGTGTGCGTGCGAGCGAGCGAGAAGGTCAACTGTCTGTCTCCTTCTTTGTCATTTCCTTTCTAGTCTTTGCTCCATTGATCCTTTATCCTCCTTCAACCATACCCTAACAAAAATACAACATATAGACTGTTACTGTAACTGTAATACTTGCTGATAAAAAATATAGCAATAATTGGATACGTTTCATATGCGTAAAGACAATTAATTAAGAACATACAAAAACAATAAAGACAATTAATTAAGAACATACAAACAAAAACCGAGAGCTAGCGAAAGCGAAACTAAAATGACAAAATCAAACATTGTAAACAGAGAATCAAAGAAAATGCTGAGAGAAACAAACTCGAAAATTGTACGATTCCAAAATGTATTCATAACGAAAAGACTTGAACAACAGATGAGCCGGAGCCAGAGATATTGGCTGGCAAATCTTCCTCCCAATAACTTCACAAAAGAGAAACAAACAAATAACGAGTTGCCATAAACATTTGTAATGTGTGTAATATCCTTCGGAGGGGTAGTAGGAAGGGCAATAGACATTTTTGTACTTGCAATAGAATATACATATATACTTATATACAAGCCTATATACATGACATATATTGATATATATATATATATATATTTTGTATACCAATCGTAACTAAAAGGCCAACCACTTCCACTCCACTCCCCCCTCCCCGTGGCTGAAACAACGACTGAAAAAACAATAGACAGACGGCAAACAGCAGAGATGAGAAGTGAAGTTCTGAGCAGAGACATGCAGCAGACCAACATATAAAGTTCTCGGGTAATGGGCAATACTGTGCTAGCCGCCTAGTGTGCTAACTGATAAAGGTTCTATTCTACAGAAAGAATTATACATACAATAGCTATAGGCATACCATATACATATATACTAAACAATTTACAATGCGTCGCAAAAAGAGATAAAGTAAACCCCCAATCAGTGCTGAAACAATTCCAATTCCAAATCGAAAGTCCAAGTTGCATTTAAATCGTATAAACCTTATGGAACGACTGAACAAATGACTCACAAAGTATTCAGACAAACTGAACGAACATTCTGATCCCCGGCGACGCCCCTCCCCCAACACCAGATGATGTTAAAGAACCAAGAACTCTGGATTGGGTTTTACAGGTGGGGTACGAAGCGGAGATAACCATTTGATATGATTATAATTGATATTTTATATTGAATAACTGGATGGGGAAACCTAAACCTAAGCCTAGATACCCGTCTACCCCATGCAAGCATTTTGTATTTATTAGCCATATTCGATTACGATAAACACACAACACACACACATATTTACAAGCGTATTTAAATATATGATAATATATTTAGGAAACTTCTTTCGATTCTCTATGTCTCTCTCGTAACTCTCTTATTTCCATTATTACTATTTATATCTATGCAAAGAAACATAACAAATATATACAACTAAAAGCGATATATGTATGCCTCATATGAGAGTGAATAGAGATGGTCGGCATGTCGGTGATTTTGGCAGGTAAGTAGAAGAAGGAATCAGCAGCAGAAGGGAATCAGAATGAGAATTGCTTAAGAATTGCAAAAATGCAAAATGCGAATTAAAAGCATATACATTATTTATACAATTTATTTTACAGTATGATTATATATATACATATATCCGCTAAAGCCCCGCCCCGCCACCCCATTAAAATCCAATACTCTAGCCCCTAAGCAATAATTATAATATTATTAATAATAATAATAATGAAAGCAAAAATATATTTATATACATAATTCAATAAAAAAAAAGAAAATATACAAAAAAAAAAACAAGAACAAATTGTATTTCGAGAGGCATGAAAATCCCCCAAGCAGTTGAGCAACCACTTTGCAGCTAGTCACGCACACGACATGCATGTTGTTTTGGACTTTTCTTCACTTGAACTCAATGAAGTAATAATATCCCAATATATGATGTCAATCTATATTAAAACAATTCCCTATCGAATGTGGAAAGCTCTGACCCTCGTGGGAATCACGAAGGGTCCGCTTGGCTTGGGGGGGAAGCGTTGGTGTTGCCAGGGACAACGTTGCTCGTCTCTCGCTGCGCCCGAAAGGACATCGAACAAACAACATCGCACAAATTGGAGGACACCAATGAAGCAGCGACAGTAAAGAATTTCAACGATGAAGTTCCTGCTGAAGAAATGCCTGAGGAAAAAGGCGCCCGAGATGAAGCCAGGTGCCATCCTGGATGCGGTCATCTCACAGTCCTCGGCGACGGCCTGCAAGTGCCTTCTGTACAAGCTGGCGGACTACAAGCGAGGTAGGTGGGAAAGTACTAAATGCCCATTCCCGAATCCATGCTCTGCCCTGTTCCAGGCGGCGATCTGATTGATGCCATCAACTCGGGCGGCCTCATTGCCGTGGAGCAGCTGATACGCGAACAGTTCGGTGTGTTCATGTACAACGATGGCAAGGGGCAGGTGATCAATCGGGCCGAGTTCCTGCGCTGGAAGTATCGCGATCACACGGAGGTGACCATACCCATTGAGGCATCGCTCTCGATTCACGATCCGCTCGGCAAGTGGGAGGACCACAAGGCCTGCTGGCAGATGCAGTACCGCGGCGCCCTTGGCGAGAGTCTGCTCCACGTGCTGATCATCTGCGACTCGAAGATCCACACCAAGCTGGCCCGTGTCCTGCTGCGCGTCTTCCCCAATCTGGCGCTGGACGTGATGGAGGGTGAGGAGTATCTGGGTGCCAGCGCCCTTCATCTCTCGATTGCCTACAGCAACAACGAGCTCGTGGCGGACCTCATCGAGGCTGGTGCGGACATTAATCAGCGGGCCATCGGCAGCTTCTTTCTGCCGCGCGACCAGCAGCGGGCGAATCCCGCTAAGAGCACCGACTACGAGGGATTGGCCTACATGGGTGAATATCCGCTGGCATGGGCCGCCTGCTGTGCCAACGAGAGTGTCTACAATCTGCTGGTGGACTGCGGTGCCGATCCGGATGCCCAGGACTCCTTCGGCAACATGATACTGCACATGGTCGTCGTCTGCGACAAGCTGGACATGTTCGGCTATGCCCTGCGCCACCCGAAGACCCCAGCCAAGAATGGCATCGTCAATCAGACGGGCCTCACGCCCCTCACACTCGCCTGCAAGCTGGGCCGTGCCGAGGTCTTTCGCGAAATGTTGGAGCTCTCGGCGCGCGAGTTTTGGCGCTACAGCAACATCACCTGCTCGGGGTATCCCCTAAATGCGCTGGACACACTCCTGCCCGATGGCAGGACGAGTAAGTGGGCAGATAAAAGGATGGATTTTACTTCATTTAGCCATCCCTCCCCCTGTAGATTGGAACTCTGCTTTGTTCATCATTCTGAATGGCACGAAACCAGAGCATTTGGACATGCTGGACGGTGGCATCATTCAGCGTTTGCTTGAGGAGAAATGGAAGACATTTGCCCAGAATCAGTTCCTCAAGCGTCTCCTCATCCTATCCACGCATCTGCTCTGCCTGTCCGTCTCTGTTTATCTGCGTCCCGCCCACGAGGGTGAGCCCGAGCCAGAGTCGGACGCTGCGGCAGCCGCTCTGCAGGAACGCGAGGAGCCAGCCGATGCCAGCGATGACTATAATGCGCAGACAGTGGCCAGATATTGTGCCGAATTGGCCACCATTGCGGGCGTTCTCAGCTACGTGGTGTTCCAGCAGGGCGATGAGATCAAGAATCAGGGTTTATCGGCATTCCTCAAGCAACTGGTAGGTGGTCCCCCAATTGGCTTTTATCATTATCATTAATTTGGCGCACTCTTGGCAGTCGCATGCGCCGGCCAAGGCCATCTTTTTGTTCTCGAATCTGCTGATACTGGCTTGCATACCCTTCCGCCTGATTGGCGACACCGACACCGAGGAGGCCATACTGATCTTTGCAGTGCCTGGCTCTTGGTTTTTGCTTATGTTTTTTGCCGGGTAAGTGTGCCAAATAGACAGGTTGAAAGTTCTGTTAATCTGTAATACCCTCTACTCTTAGTGCCATTCGATTGACCGGACCCTTTGTGACGATGATTTATTCTATGATCACCGGCGACATGTTCACCTTTGGCATCATCTACTGCATCGTTTTGTGTGGCTTCTCGCAGGCCTTTTACTTCCTCTACAAGGGACATCCGCAGGTGCAGTCGACAATGTTTAATACCTACACCAGCACCTGGATGGCCCTCTTTCAAACCACATTGGGTGACTACAATGTGAGTCTCATTCGCACACATCAAAGAACCCTCAGTTAGGCTTCCTTTCTTGCTCTCCAACCATCCATTCAGTATCCAGACCTCAATCAGACCACATATCCGAATCTCTCGAAGACGGTTTTTGTGATCTTCATGATATTTGTGCCCATTCTGTTGCTCAACATGCTGATCGCCATGATGGGCAACACCTACGTGACGGTGATCGAGCAGTCCGAGAAGGAGTGGATGAAGCAATGGGCCAAGATCGTTGTCACCCTGGAGCGCGCTGTGCCGCAGTCGGATGCCAAAGGCTACCTGGAGGCCTATTCCATACCGCTGGGCCCATCGGATGACTCTGGCTTCGAGGTGCGCGGCGTTATGGTCATCAAGAGCAAGAGCAAGACACGGGCCAAGCAGCGCAAGGGAGCCGTCTCCAATTGGAAGGTGAGTCCATGGGTCAGGTACAAAGACCCTCAGTGCCTTGAACTGAACTTTTATGCGTCTCATTGCAGCGTGTGGGACGTGTCACGTTGACGGCTTTGAAGAAGCGCGGCATGACCGGGGAGGAGATGCGTCGCCTCATGTGGGGACGCGCCTCCATCTCCAGCCCCGTCAAGGTGACCAAGCAGAAGCTCAAGGATCCCTACAACACCATGCACACGGACACGGACTTCACCAATGCCATGGACATGCTCACCTTTGCCAACAATCCGGCATCCAGCAACGGCGTACAGCTGCGCTCAGCGGCCACCCTGGGCGGCGGTGGTGGTGGAAAGGAGACGGCGCCCACGGTCCCAGATCCCTTTCGGGAGCTGATCATGATGTCGGACGAGCGGCCAGAGACCCATGATCCCCATTACTTTGCCGGACTGCAGCAGTTGGCCAACAAGGCCTTCGATTTGGTTGAGCAGACAATGAAGACACAGCCGCAGACAGACAAGATCGTTCCCAGTGTGGCAGCAGCACCCATGGCCAGCACTCCGCTGCCAGTCGCCCAGTCTGCCACATCTTTGCCTACTGCTGCTCCTGCAGCTCCTGCTTTGGCCATACCATTGCCCATGACGACACTGGGCAATCTGTTCCAGGATCCCAAGGATGTTGTGGATCCCAAGAAGCTGGAGGAATTCATGGCCATGCTGGCCGAGGTGGAGACGGAGGAGAGCGACAGTGGAGGGCCCATTCTGGGCAAGTTATCGCTGGCCAAGCGTACCCACAATGCCCTATCCAAGGCGGACATACGGCGGGAGCACGACACTTCGATGGGTTTCGATGGGCATGGCCATGGGCAGTTTCAGGCCATGTCCTCGGTGTGGGCACCACCCGAACTGGACGTCAGCACGGTAGGGAATCAATCAATCCAAATGCTCATTGAAGTTTTTATCGGTTTTGCTTGTGGCAGGGCTTTCACTTTGACGAGGCCGTCGCCGAGGAGGTGCTGACCATTGAGCAGGAGGCCGATGTGGAGACCGAGGACGGCAATGGGGGACAGGATAGCGAGGATTTGCCCACCACGGATGAGGTGCATGCCACCATGAAGCAGTTCCACTTGCGCAAGTGCCAGCCACCGCAGGATGAGGCCGCTCGTCGGGCCAAGAGTGCGCGCGTTCGTCGCAGGAACAAGTAAGTGATGGCCGCGGCATCCACGCCTCCTTGCTGCCAAAGCTCTTCTTTCCCTTTTGCAGAGTCTCGCCGGAACAGAGCGAAGAGGAGGAGCAGCGGCAGCGTCAGCAGCGTGGACGCACGGCGCACGGTCGTAAGATGCCGTCACCGCCCGATCCCCTGGAGCCATGGAGCACCCGTGAGCTGCAGGACATCAACAAGATACTGGCTAGAAAGTAAACAAATTGGAGACAAAGGATACAGGAGTACAGGAGTACACAGTCGCATCTGGCACATAGTCCTTGTTGCTTATAATTGTTTTTAGATCTTATCCTAGTTACACATACAAATACATAATAAACCCCCGAGGATGCACAGCCCCACATATGCGGGAGGGATGCGTGGTGCGTGCATCCTCGGCTGTGTTATCTCTAAGTGCTAGCTTTAAAATGTGGATGGTGGATGTGTGTTTTTGTGTGTGTTTGGTGGTTGGAGGAGTGGTGAAACCTGCAGGCCCCGAAGCAGTTCACAATAACTCATCCGTTTTGGCATACTGCTTGAGACTTGGAACTCTCGCGCGTCTCCGGGTGTCTATATTAACAAGAAAGGAGGAAAGGAAGGAAGGTGCTACCTTCGGTTGCCCCGAAGCATGTGCGATACCCTTGCAGATCGATCGTTTGTCCGCTCATCCAACTACAAGTTTTATTCTCGTAAATTTTGGTGATGCTAGCAGGCAAAACAGACACTTATGCCTCAGTTTTGTGTGCCAAAGTTGTACAGCTACAGCTCGCAGACGGACAGACGGGGTGGAGTATTCTACTCTACTCTATATATACACACGGATGGCTGGCTGGCTATATATGCTGCTTCTAGTGTAAGAATCTGCAAGGATATTTTGCATATAAATTCAAATCTGAAATCATTTCTACACTGAAGAGAATCTCATCTAAAACTTAGAACTATCTATGTATAATCCATCTTCTAGGCTCTATTATCCGATATAAACTAAATATTTATAATATACATTGTGCTGGATGACAGGGGAATGGCGCAATCAATGCCATTGCCATTGCCAATGCCATTGCCAATGCCTGCCGATGCTTCGATATGATTGCTAGTTGTCCACAAATCTGTCCACAAAACTAAGCCTCTCCTCTAAAACTCTTTCTCTTTGGAGCGGTATGCGCTGGGTGGTGAGGGAGGTGGAGACATAGATCTCAGCACTCTGAGCTTTTACCGAAACCCTCCAGTCAGCGTCCGATCCGTGGACATTGTGGTGATCGTTTGCGCCTGCGTTTGCTGCTGCTGCTGTTGCTGTTGCGATTGCGTTGCCGTCTGCGCACTCGATACCGTCGAATTGATGTATATGGGCGTGGCATTGGTGACGGTGCTCGAGTTGCTCTGGCTGAGATTTACATGCTGCTGCTGTTGCACCTGAACCTGAATCTGATGCTGCTGCTGGTGGTGGTGCTGCTGCTGCTGATGATGATGCTGCTGCTGGTGGGTGGCTGTGCCCGCGGGCGTCGCCCCCAGCTGTATGAGCTGCTGTGCCGTCAGCAGATTTGTGGGTATGATCACCTGCTGCTGTTGCCCATGCTGCTGCCCAGCCAATTGTGCAGCGGCTGCGACTTGTTGCTGTTGCTGCTGTTGTTGCTGCTGCTGTTGTTGCTGCTGCTGCATCTGCAGTCGCAGCAGCTGCAAGTGGCTCGCAGTGATGGCAATCTAAAAGGGATACGGTCAGAATTTTGCATATTTATGTTCGACTTGCGACAACTTACGGGCACATTGGTTATCTCTCCCGTTGGTCCCACCACCTGCTGAATTATCTGGATTTGTTGCTGTTGCTGCTGCTGCTGCTGTTGTTGTTGCTGTTGCTGCTGCTGCTGGTGATGCTGCTGGGCGAGATTCTGGAGCAGTGCCGTTTGCTGCTGGGCCGCCGTTGTCGGCGCCGGAGTGGCGGTTAGCTGCCCGTTGGGGCCGGTGGTGAGAATCAGCTGCTGTGTGGGCTGCTGTGCGGCCACAATATTAAGGCCTAGACTCTGGGACAAGTGATTCTGAGCTGGCTGCTGCTGCACCTGCTGCACTTGCTGCACTTGCTGCACCAGCTGCGTGCCCTGCTGCCCCGGCAGCGCAATGAAGTACTGCAGCTGCTGGCCTCCCGCATGGCCACCGGCCTGCTGGATGATCTGCACGTGCTGGGGCTGATGTTGTTGTTGCTGCTGCTGCTGCTGCTGGTGCTGATGCTGCTGCAGTTGGGCGGTGAAAATGTCCTGATTGACGGTGCTGAAGCCGAGTACCTCGGCTGCGGTCGCAGCGCTGCTGGTGTCCATCTTGAGGGTGGCCGTGGCAGAAGGTACAGTGGTGCCGCCCAAGCTGAAATTGCTCGTGGCGGTGGCTGTGGCGGCGGAGGAGGCGGAGCTGTGGCCAACAGAGCTGCCGGCAACGGACCCGGCCATCCCAGTGGTCGAGCACGCTCCCATGGAATCTTTGCCCTTTTGCGCCGACGATGGCTTGATCTCCTCCCGCGGCACTATGTCGATGAGGAAATCGAACTGATCGTAGTTGGCTATGGCCTGGGCGATGTCCGAGCGCTGCAGCGTGCGCCGGCGACTCTCCTCGGTGTGCACCCAGGCGTGCATGGTCAGCTCCTGGATGAAGTATTCGCAGGCCTTGGCAAACAGCAGCGGTGCCTCGCCAGCTATCATTTTGGCGTTCTCGTCCAGCTTCATGATCTTCTTGATGCGCGCCAAGGGCAGAACCTGATGCTTGGCATCAACCTGCCCGATCCCGTGCACCTCGCTCACGATATTCGGCCAGAAGTTGTCGATGGTCGGCGGCGGCTTCCGGGCCACTTGCGTCCGTGTCGCCTTCGTGGCCTTTTCCTTGGGCGTGCTGGGACTGGGACTGGCATTCACCGTCATCGTCATTCCGGGATTCACAATGGTGCAGGCATTAGAGACCAGCGTCGCCTGCATGGGCATCGTCAGTGTGGCCGTGGCAGATTGTTGAAGCTGCTGCTGCTGCTGCTGTTGTTGTTGCTGTTGTTGGGGAAGCTGCTGGGGAATCTGCTGTTGGGATGTAACGACCACAGCGTTGGGCGTTCGTCGCTGAACAGCAGTCGTCGTTACCTTGCCAGCTGCGTAGGCCTGCGACATGGGTCCGCTCAGATCCACCTTGATCGGTGTCACGGTAATTGTGTTGTCGAACAGCGTTGTGGCGGCATTGCTGCTGGCATGAAGGGAGCACATCACAACACAACACAAAACATAGAACAAAAACAAAAGCACATCAATTTTATAAGTTGTACAGTGTCCGAAAGTGGGGAGGGGTTTTGGGGGTGTGCATGAAACATACCTGTTTGGCGCCTTATTCGTGCCGCCATTGTTGGTCGCGTACATGGCCAATGTAGCTCACGTGCTCTGCTGTGCGGCGGCGGCAATTGGTCGGCTTCAGCGACCGGCTCAAGCTAAGATTATTTGTTTAATTTGTTTTTTATGCTATTATCGCTACAGCGAATTGGGTGGTGGTGGTGGACGATGAACGATGAATTTGCATTTACCAGGTACCAAAGTCTGTCGATATTTTCTTGTAGATGGTGCGCTTGCAGTTGCTATCGATGTTTGTTGATGAGGGCATGCAAGGTGTTGCATTGGAAAGGTGTTCTAATAATTAAGCAATATCAGTATGATGCTTGGTTGAGTTTACGATCTTAACGAATTATATAATGTAATGAGATGCAATAAGGATGTGCAATGTGTAAGTGTAAGTGCAAAGGCTACACAAGGCTGACCCTGAAAGTGAAAACAACAGAATGCTGTTCAAGGCCATGGATTGATAGGAATCTCGTTATAAATTGAAGCAAAATAAACTCCGTTAGTTTTTGATATTTTCTTATACTCATTATTCCAGTCCGTTTGAACTTGTATCTTTACTTATACAATTACTTGGTCGAAGAGGTAAATTAACTATTCTGCCTTTTATTCTATTCTTCTATTTTTCTGTTAGGTATGCATTTTTCACCACATTTTAGCCCTTGTACAAAGTAAAAATGACTTTTGGCAGTATTGGTCTCATGAAATTTAGAATTAATTTTAGAATTAGGAGCCTATACAAAAGAATATCAATTCAAAAATATATAATTACCAAAAATTAAATTATGAAAATTTAGTTGACCCTTTTTTTTTCTTCTTAGCCCATGCGCCAGCTAAAGGGGGTTTCAGCACATTCTATTGTCGTTGTACTTGCACTCACTTCGTAAAACCTTCACACATAGACAGCTGACTTCTTTTCCCGACGAGTCCAACTTATATAAATGCAACATGGCTCCCCGCTTAGCAATAGTTTGTAATGATGTACTTAAAGGGTGATTTGTATGAAAAATTCAAAAACAATTTGTAGAATATAAGGTCATAAAATATACAATACAATAAAATGAGTATTTATAATAAGCCAAATGGATTCTTCAATCGGATTAAATTATTGTTTCAGTGTTAAAAGTTAAATGAGAGTAATATCAAATATAACATCAAATTCGAGAAAAATGGGCTAAGATTTACGTTATATTTAAGTGTGCACGTATATTTTTTTGGTATATTCCTGTGCTTATATTGAGACGCAAAAATGACGACAGAGAAGAGAGAATCAGCGAACCAGATCCTCTCCCTTGCTGACCTAATCCTCTCTTTGGTATGTGACCGCAAGGTATGGCATGCAGGTAAAAAAGGACGAACTTTCCCAAGCTCCTACCTTTTTCGCACCTGTTTGAAACGATCCCTAATAATGCATGCGAGAGCGTCTGACAAGAGAGCATTTCCCTGAAGAATTTCCATATCGCAGGATGAAAATCGCCATGTAAATTACCTGTTGTCGACAACTTACGCTCCCTTGCTTAGTTACGTTAGGGTAATGTTTGAACAACCAATGAGTACATATAGAGAGAATATTTGACTATAGAACATATAAAGTATATAAAAATAAAAGAGGGTAAATAATATCTAAGAAATCGGTGATTACCTATACGATAATGATGATTTTTCATCATTATCAGGTATTCCTTAGCAAAAGAAAGGAATACCTGCAATGTATAAACCGGAGTATAGCCCCAATTATGTTGTTAAGATAGAAGAACTTCCCCCCCAAACCCCTCCAAGCTTATTATAATATTTACATATGTTCCCTTTGTGCAATTTTAAGGAAAACAATAAAATGTCTGTTCCTCTTTTGTTGCGCGGCGGTATTTTTCAAACATTTTTAATGACATCAGTTAACATACATGTGTCTCTACATGTTACATGCACTTACATTCTGAACACAAAGCTCCCTTGCTTTCGAGAAGGGGTGACATGAATGAAACATTCAAATGCAAATTTGTAAAATATAAGGTCATAGAGTATACAATCTAATAAAATGAGTATTAATAATAAGCCAAATTGATTCTGTAAACGGATTAAATTATTACTTCAGTGTTAAAACTCTTGGCAAGCTAGTAATATCAAATAGAACACCAAAATCAAAGAATGGCATTTAAGACTACGGTATATTCAGTATATTTTGAAAATGCAAGGGTATATTTCGGTATATTTCCGAGGGTATGCCGGTATACCTTATCGATAAACCCGCGGTCCCACTGCACTGTTCACTGTTGTATGTGTGCGTTCGTGTGCGCGACGAAAAAAAATACAAAATCGTAACGAGCAGAGGAAAAAACGTGTGAAAAATACATAAAGAGGTACCGCCAGATGAAGAGTAATTGGCAAATAGTTTAAGACAGTAAACGCATGGCCTACTGTCTGGCTATATCCTGTTTAAATTTTTCTGATGTTTAGGACCTGTTTCAAGGACCTTTTTTGCCTACTTCTCTCCCGGCTGGCTCCCCTTTTAGTCAGTGTTATGCTATATACAGTGGTTTCGGTGTGTGTGCGCTTGAGTCGCGTGTGTCTTCTGACCACGACCACCTGGGCGGTAGTCAAGTGGAAATTTTGCGTTCAAGGACAACGCTAGTGACACCCTCTCCATCCCATCCTCTGTCTAGCCCATAGGCTCCTTGCATTTTCTGCGGGAGGGGCTCGTGAAGAAGCAACAAAATAGTATATTTCCCTGTTATAGTTTATACGAAAGAAGAGAGTGGTGGAGCAGGACGGCGACAACTAGTCTGGTATTTGTACAGTTAAATTTGGTGGGTTCCCCCTCTCAGAAACAGTGATGTGGTCGTTTGCATAGAGAGTATAAGGATTAATTATTCGAAAATAGAATCGTATTCTCATATTTTGAAATAAAATTCAATTTTCATACAAATAGTCTAGTACATAGGTGAAGATATGTATTTTCGCATGTGTTCGAATGTGTGTGTGGCGGGGTGCCGTTGCTTTTTTGTTCTCCTATTTGTGCCTCCGCGTTTGAGCGAGCTTGCGCACACCAATGCAAATGTACATGCATATGCCGCTCTTTCGGTCGCGCGCTCTTTCCAAAAACACATGGGACCGACCCCTGCCAGGCCCCAGCATTGCACTCGAAAATAACTGTTCGCAATTGTGAGAGCTAGAGAGCAAAACAAGCGTTTAGAAGAAAAAAGTTCGGAAAATATGAGAACAAAATGAGAAAAAAATCAGCTGCGACGTAAATCTCTCACAAAAAAACCGTTAGGTAGGATGAAGTGAAGATAGGAAGGGAGATGAAGCATGACAACCATTGAAATAGTAAAATAAGCCTAGTAAATGGATAAAACAAAAAACCGCCACATTTCACATCCACGTGTGTGCTCGGTGTCTGTGCCTGGCATGTGTACATACATACATATGTATGTACATACATAGATACATATGTGCGTGTGCAATTGTTTTCTGCAGCTGATTTATTTGAGTTTGCTAGTGTGCGCTTGTTGGTTACGCGGTTGTAGAAGGGGAGACCAGCAGCTAATCAAGTTTTAAATCTGTCACACATCCGCTGCCCAAAAAAATTATTCAAACTGCGAACGGTGATAGTTATTGAGATTTTATATGTGTGAGTGTGCGTGTGAACGCATGTACAGATGAATATTCTTTATTCAATTGAAAACGCGGCTCTTCTCAGGTCAAGGACTAGTTTTATTTTTTTACTTGGTTGAAGCCTGGAGACTAACTAGAATATTCCACAGATTGTTTTCCATCCATCCCCCAATCATACTCACTGCCAATTCAAATTCGTTCGACAGCTAATTAACTTATTGGACCAATTAGCCGAAAACTGGTTTTTAGTCCGTTACGTGCCTTTGCTTGCCCCCACAACCCTGGCTGCATCGAAAGGTGATGATTAGTAGGTGGGGATAAATGAGCGACAGCACTTCTGCTGCTGTCAGGTACCGTTCGACGCAGACGCAGGCGCCTGCGTGTAGCCCTCCACCCCCCAAATGACAAAAAAATGGTCAAAGGCTAAAGAGCAAAGAAGATCTCAGCTGCTTACGATTCGCGCTAATGTTGTTTGTGTGTGTGTGTGTGTGTTTTTGTACGGCTGTAAATAGGCATTGCTATACATATAAAAGAAGAAATCGTAACGTAAACGTAACGTAAACTATAACTCCCCTCCCTTGCTCACCCACCCCATTGCTGCGCTCCATTCCATCCCGCTCTCAGCTTCCCATGAAACGTGTATCCCTATGGTGTATGGTTTAGGTTGGATACACTTGGTGTGTGGGGCGATGTAGATTAGTCAAAATTGATATGTTTTGTGGCATGATCTGCCGCCGTTTTTCTGATATTTATTCGTAATAAGAAACGATTGTTTTCTATGAATTGGAGCTTGGGTTTCTTCATTTCCAGCTAACAGCGACGCCGTTTCTCAAACGGTATCGGATACCAATTGTATTTATATTTCTGATTCGATTTGAGCCGTAAAATATGCATCATAATGTGTGTGTGTGTGTATATGAGCTCTTGCATAAGAGCTTCAGGCTCACCTGCCTGAGAAAAGGTGAGAGGAGGGACCAGACATCAACTTCTTTTCATCTTACGCATCCTCTAATTCAAAGGTCGTACCATCGAAGTATGTACATACATACGAGTATGTCCTGTATGTAGATCAAATGTCAAATCAGAACTGATACTGATGGATTTATCTGGTTAAAAACCTTATTTCTCATTTTTATTTATTCGTTCGGTAGAGGCAAGCCGTTCGGTTTGAATGTGTTGTTAGTTTTATTTTTATATTCTGTGATCTTTTATTTGTTTATTTCTTGGTTTTTTTTTTCGTCTTGGATTGCATTTATTTCCTGACACCAAATTTATCAAATTGCAGCGCGGCGCTGTCGTCCATTATCTTTCTTCTTCGTCAGTGTTCGTTATCGTCGTAGTCTCGTCGTCCTTTTTTTCGTACTCGTCGTCGTTCCGAACGAAGAAAGAAGAACTGCATCAACAAGAACAGGATACCCTGAAACAAACACCCACGTAATGCAAATGCTTTAACCGTTGACCTCAAAGGATCAAAACTACGAGGAGCAGTCTCGCCGCCTAGGATGTCCACAAATTGGCAATAAATGATATTCGTGTGTATGTATGGTATGTATTGCCTGATA